GGTAACTGTTTGTTGGGGGGGGGGGGGGCTGCTTTTGTATCATTCATATCATCTATATTATATAAAACCGTAACTAAATAAACATAGTTTGCATTCACAATCACATGTATGAACGACTCGCATTGTTCTCTGTCTTTTTTTTTTTTTATTTAAAAAAACGTGTTTCCTGTTGACGTCAGATGGATTTTTGTGAGTAAATAGATGGATAGAGATATGGCGTTTTCACTTTGTCTCATTAATTTCTCCCCATTTTCTGCACAAAAAAAAAATGATGCAGCCTTCATAAATCATGTGCTTACATTTCTAAAACAATGAATCCAATGACTTTTGCATCTCTGATTATATCACGACCCCATTCAGTATTTATTTTTTAAAAATTTTCATGAAAATAATAATTTTGGTTAGTGTAGAATTTATAAAAAATAAAATGTTGGGTAATATAAACAAAGGTTTCAGAGGCAGTTTTAAAGAAAGAAGAAAGCAAGCTTAATGGGATGGAAGAGAGGGACCTTCTGACTTGAAATGTTGAGAGACAACGACAACTTTTCAAATGTAGGAAGTTTCTTTTCCGGAGACTTGCATCACCGCTGCGCCATACCTTTCCCTGCAGAATCGTCTACTCCATATTTTTCTTAATCCGAGTTCAAAGGTCCCTCTCTTCCATCCCACAAGAAAAATGTGGTTTTACATCATAAAAACCTGCGCTCTTCCCTAATGTTTTCAGTAATGGAATATAATATAGATTGACCGAGTTCCATTTCAGTCAAATGACTACCACAACCATAACAAAGAATGGAAACGTCAAATCCTTTGGTTTGGACAATGAGTCTCACCGACTACTACTCCATCCACCAAACACGACAGTCAGACAACATCAATCCATGCATTTAAAAACAAAAAAAACTTTTTGTGCTTTTTGATGGGTATCGAGAAACCAAGGACAAAGATTACAAGGCGTTATAAGCCCACATGTTTTCTACAGATTCCGGGCCTCTCTTTTTTGGTTTTCTTCTTCTTCTGTGGGATGCAACAATGACAAGAGGATTACACACTTTTTTTTTTCTCTTTGGTTTACACAGCTCTCTTTCGACAACACTTACCTAGCGGCAATCATCTCCTCTGTTGTGGGTTTGAATCAAGGCAAGGCTTGCGAATCTTGAACCCAAACACTCTTGGAACGTAGCTTTGAGGTGCTTTCGGTGGCTTCAGATGCCCATACGTCATCACAAACAGATGCGGAAATGTCGTCCCAAAGTATGCTCCATCTATGTCTGTTTACAACACTGATCTAAGGAAAACCACCGCAAGATCACAGCAACATACCTACTCCAGACTCTAAATGAACACACATGTGGACGAGGACATCACAAGTCAAATATTTCAGAAACCTGTACCCGAACAATCTCAGAGTTCATGAACTAGAAGGCGCTTAAAAATGTTTCAAACATCACCGATCGTCACAAGCAAAGTAATTGCACACACGTGGTTGCAGATGCATGTATAAGGGTGAGATAAGGATACTTCCTTCGTATTTTGATCGGGGGTAATAAATGTCTTCACATTTTGGGCAATATATCTTTACTGTGCTCGTTCGAGGGATGTCCGATTGACCAACCGGAAGACAAGGTTGGCCGCAGCAATACACTCTTGGGCATCTTCCAAAGTCATAGCTTTTGTATTTGTCTAACTGCAAGCATTTGTTACAGACTTGTCAACAGTGAACGTATGCATGTCCTGCAAGATGTTAGATTATGCAGCCGAGAAGATATTTTCTCACCATGGCAGCCAATCCTTTGCTCGTCAATATATAACGAGCATGAATCAGACCATAAAGCATCTCTGCTGCTGACTCGATCAATTCATTCTGTTCCTCTGTAAACATCTCACCTGTTACCAGCAAATCCAGATCAATCATTGAAGAGAGGTTATCTCTGATTTCTTACTGGCACGAAATGATCTGTCTAATCCAACATAAATCTATCTCATACGACATATAGGTGAGGAGGAACTGATCACAATTCACAAACAAAAGTTTCATGACAAAAAAAAACGTTAACATACCATGAGAAGATTCTACATCCAAAATCAAATCAAGGGCATAGTCGTAGTAAGGAACTTGACTGCTGAGTCCACACAAGTTGAAGTCGTCCTGAATGTAATCATCATCGACTTCACAAAAGAACTCGTTTCCACGTAAACTGCAGAACCAAGATATCCATGAGGTGTCCTCTACATCAGAGCCGCTGACATCTGATTCTTCACTGTCTGTTTCCGATTCATCTGCAGTCAGTAAAAACCAAACAAATGCGCACAAGACGTATAATAAGTTTACTCAAACAGGCCAATGAATACACTGAAGCAGAACCAGCGATAGAATATGATCAAGCTTCAAACCTTTATTTGTTACTTTGCTTGAAAAGTACATTCCAAAACAAAAGGGAATCATTTCTCGAGGAAGCTAGAGGCGTTACTCAACATCATAGGCTGAGATAGATAACGGAAGTCTACTAAAGGCAAACTCAGAGTCTGATTCAAACAGCCAAGTCTCTTTGATGCACAACGAGGTAAACCAAATTCAAAAACTTTTCTGGGAGAAAAAAATCGTTTTTTTTTTCACGACAGAGAGATGATAATCTAGATTAGGGCAAACCCTAAATCGAGATTCAGAAGACAACAAATAAGAAATCCCTAAGCATCTGCGATCAACGAGGAAGGCAAACGAATCTCACCGTCGAAAACGTTGTTCTTGGAGAGAGAAGTAGAGCGCGAATCCCTGTGGTCATGGGGTTGCTTCCCCATCAAGACGGAGTGCGCAGCCGCCGAGGTTCCCTTGCCCTTGCCATTGAGGGACCGGGACGTCGATGGAGATGGCCGCTCAAGATGTTTATCGAGCGCGTTGGAGATCCGCTTCCGATCCACCACGTCCGCCTTCGAGGCAACCATCGCTCTCTCCTTGTACATGATCTCTCGGTATGGTTATACGCCGCTGAGAAGACACCGTCAGCGCCGATTCATGCCGATGAGATGGATCGACCGCAAGCGAGGGCGGTGGGGAAGGTTCCTAGGGTTTTGATGCGAAGCACTCGTCTCGCGTGCCTGGTTGCGTCTATCTATCTCGCAAGCAGTCTGTAGGCACAGGCGGATTTTTGTTTCTCCCTATGTTTGTGTTTTGTTTTGTTTTGTTTTTTCCGGGATTTTTGAAATTAAAGGGGAAAAAATAAACAGAGGGAAGGGCAAAAGGGGAATAATAATTTAGGTTCCCGTAGAGGTGAATCGGCAGCCGTCCACCGAAAGGAAGTGGAGAGCGGGGGTCATGTGCGGTGGCTTTCTCCGTGCTGTAGGGACACGTGTCCACTTTCAACTGGACAGTGAGAATTACGCATGCCTATCTATCACAAATGAACTAAATTGGAGGCCTTGAGATGCATCTGTTTGACAAGCTACTGTCGTTATTTTCAAATGGTTATAGGGTTATTGTCGTCAACACAATAGAAATGATGAAGAGGGACACGTCTCTCGGCCTCGGTGGCATTTTATATCAAAATACAGATCAAAAGAAAAAACACCGAAACATCTGCTGCAAGTCCATAATGGTAAGAGGAAGTTGAAGTTTTGACATTCCGTCAGATATCTTTAATCAATCAAAGACCCACAAATCGACATGCAGTGGCTGGCTGCATCTGCATGCGTGTTCATATCGCCACGTCGATGCCGCTTTCTGAATGTTTTTTTTTTTAAGTCGTTCCAAAAGATAAATAATTAAAATACTTTTACAAGGAAAAAAAGAATCAACATTCAACAATGAATAGAAAGACGAGTGTGACGACATACTAAACGAGAGTCGAAGATAATGAGAGGGCATGGCATCAATACCTGCAGCAGCGTCCAAAGTGGAAAGCCACACCACCTCCCTACACTTGGAACCATCTGAATTCATATATATATATATATTATATGTGTATGACTGATTCCGCATGCATCTACAAACTACTATACATTATACACACACAAGGACATTTTGTAAGCAAGCATCTAGTGCCATTACCCTATACTGGATGGATATATGATGAAAACCAGGAATTCTGAACCAAATCTACAGCTTACACACATTATATGTACTTGGGACCATTTATTCCAAGCCCAGACCCCTCGGATCAATGCTCTGCTGACTGATTGCAGATTCTCAGCTTCCACTTCACCCTTTCATAACCTCCCACATGCTCAAGAGGAGGATGCGTGACTCATCGCATAGAAATCAAACTGTTACCATAACTATTGCCAAAAGGGCACTTTTCAAAATGTTAGCATGTCAAGGATCAACCGACAGAGCAAAGCAGGACGATATCTTACATAGAAAGGGTTGTGATTATGATATCAGACTCCTCTCCTAGTCTTCAGCAAAGTACTTGTCTTCGGCGTCAAGGCTGACCTCACGAAGCCAGTGGTCATCAAGTGTCTCATCGTTGTCTATCTTTGAATAATCCAAGTGCTGATGATCTTCTCCCGACAGAAACTTCTGTTGCATAATGTATGTGAACTGTTCCATCATTTCCTGCATCTCCTCGGGTGATACAGCTCCCTCCTCATCTCTACTGATTGACTCTTCGTTGTTATCAGTACCATTCTTAGCCACCTGAATCATCCCAGGGAGAATACGTGAGAATGGGTTTTGCTGCTCTGATCCATCAGAAGCATACATAGGCATTGCAAAGTGCATATAATGACTAACTGAACATGCATCAAGGAAGTACGTTGTGATAACAAAACTTGAGAAACCCAAACGAGTGAATCACAACCTTGGAACTAATGCACGCCAAAACATAATGAAACCACTTACCTCCTCAAGCCGCGAACTTGCTCCAGCATGCTTGTTTGCTTCTTCATCTTCTTCTCCTTCCTCCGATTCCTCCTCTTCTTCCTCTTCCTCCTCCTGCACCATCTCATTACCAATCCAATCCCTCTCCGATACACCTAACCTCTGCTGCTCCTCCCTAATCCTAGCAACTAACCTCGCTTCTTCTGACCTTCTCATCAATGTCTCAGACCAGCGTTCCCCGGGCCTAGCCATGCTCCTTCCAGTCAAATCTTGAAACTTGCCGACATACTCGTGGTGCAAATACGGCTCTCTCTCCCGCATAGCATCCTCGGAGAAGTAGTGGCCCTCAGCCACGAGCTTATTTAAGTAGGCCAATCTTCTGTTCCTCACGGCCACCGACCTCGATTTCAACTCTTGAGAAGTGGGATTCATCTTCTTCCGAAGGTTGTTCAAGTGCCAGTCGACCTCATAGTCATCGTTCAAAGCATCGAACTCGCGCAATTCGTCAACAGTCAGCTGAGACCCATAGCGCTCTGGATCGATACACAAGTAAACAAATCTCGATAAAAGTATAACAAAACCCCTATCGCAAATGATTGGCAAAGGAAAGGGGATGATCCTCACAATTAAGCCGATGATCGAAAGAAAAAAAAAAGGAAAATAAATCGGAGAGACGAGGTACGTACCGAGGAAGACGGCGGGGTCGCGGAGGAGGAGGTGGAGGAGGAGGGGCTTGCGGTGGGAGGCGGAGGAGGTGGAGGAGGCGACGGCGCGAGGGAAGTAGAGGTTTTCCAGAGAAGACAGCCTCTCCGATATCTCCTCCGCCGCCTCTTTCCTCACCGCTTTTTTTCCTTGCTCCATTTCTTCTTCTTTGCCTCTCCCTGTCGCACTCGGGTCGTGAAATACTGAGCCCGGCAACCGAACGGGCCGACAGGGCCTTAACCCATAATAAAGAGAATAATACCTTGTTCATAAATTCGTTTCTCTATTACTTTTTATTTTACGTCTCCAACAATCTTGGCTTTTCCTTTTTTTTTAAATAAAAAAATCAACCAGTATTACATCTCTTTATTTTTTTGGGTGAGGATAAGAATGATGTATAACCTAAAGTTTCGAAATGGAAAGAGCATCTCGTAGTCCTCAGAGAGGAGAGAGCCAAAATTTATTACGATAAAAGGGTGAAGCAAACAAAGGGACATGTACGGCCAGAAAGGAAAAAAGGAAGCTACTAAGAAGAGAGATGGTTAGTGATGACGTCAGGGCAAGACTGCGCTTGAAGAAGCTCCAGCCTCGTGAACGGATGCGTGAACTGAAGTATGTAGTCTTCGTCTGCACCCACACCCACACCGTTATGTCTTTTTCTTCTTTTTTTATACAACAAAGAAAAAAAGAGAGAGGGCAGGAAGGGGGGGAGGGACATACTGTCTTTGACGGTGCCGTAGAGCCAGCAAAGAACCTCATCCGCAAATGCCAAACACACTCCTCCCTGCCAATAGTTTTTCAACCTGGCCCTGTGCGTTATATCTTTCGTCCTCAGTCTCTCTGTCCGTACCAGCCTCCCTCCGTCATCCCTGCCAATGCCCATTCATACCATCATCATGTCGTATTATGATTTTGATAAGATCCCCTCAAAATGAAATCATGCAAGACTACCTATTTCTTTTCTTTTTACCTGAATCCCACAACAATGTACGGAACACCTGCTAGGAATGATTGTATCTGCATCACACGCGTGTCCTACACGTTATTTCATGAAAAATAACAACACAACACTGAGTGATAATTAATGAAACAGCCACCACCACCGGTGCTGCGGGAAAAACCACATCATTTTACCCAGAACTTAAGCAGCTTGTCTCTCTCAAATCTCTCCACTGTACGGTCATCCAGCTGGAGAATGATGCAGCCCAACCAAATAATCAGGGAAAAAAAAACAGAAGAGAAATACACGGCAACAACAGAAATAATAGCATCTGGACATGTGTGTTCACCTCACGAGAGGTTTTCAGCTCAACATAAAACCTCCTTCCCTCATCGGTCGAATCACAACAATCCATTTCAGCCCCCATCAGAACGCGGTGAGCTCCTAGCTTAGTTTTAAAAACCCCACAATATTCAACGTTTGCATCCACGTTTTGTATCTCTTCTCCATATGCTCTCCCCGGATCTTCTGTGGAAAGGCTTTCAAAACAGTAACCCCAGTAGCATCTGTATCACCACGTATAATAAGACCATCACCTTCAATTACTGTCCAGTAGCATTCTTTTCACTCAATTTCTCCATCAAATTTTTTTCTACCAAACTCCAGATGGGTATATTTTGATACCACTAAGAAAACCACCGCAATCACTCACTTCCCAAAAAGTTGAGTGAATATTACCTGCGGCGATCTAAATCAGTTTGTGGCCTTTCAGGCAGCTTGTGCACATCCAGATATATTGTACCATTCCTCTTATGTACACCCATTTCCCAAGGTTCATGCCGATTATAAGCAGCACCTAGAATCTGAATGAAATAAAACAATGCACAAGGTTAAGGAAGTGACTGGACAGACGCCTAGCCATATGCCAAGTTTACAGAGTCATTGCTGATTCCGTACACCGAAAGAGACTAGTTATCTGTTAATGTTATACCAGCTAACAGAAGGGAGGGATCTGGAATTACCTTATTTAGATTATTACGGAATGTCTGTCCATCACAAAGCAAAGAAACCCAACTGAGATAAACTCTTCAAAGAAATAAATTCCAGTGATTTAGGCAAAATGTGTGAGGGTGTGTGTGCGCAATTCATACCACAAAATGAATGTTCCCCAGTGTAATATTTTTCGCTCTGATGCAGTCAAGAAGATCGCCAAAGCCCTCTGAGCCCATGTCTAATTCAGAAGAAACAGAACAAATATTCAGCTGAATCTGGCAACCTTGAAGATCTTTTGCACAGGTTAATACTTACCACTAATTCCTTGTACTGAAATGAACTATAGGTTTTTCATGCCACAGAGTTAACCATCACCTCTTTTCGCGGTAAAGGTATCATAACCTTGATTTAAATCTGCTCCAACCTCTTCAGAGATGAGACGCTTGAAAAGCCTCTGAGAGATGAATAAATGTCATATATACACGTTTGTGACTAATTTAAAAAATAAAATACTCCAAAGACTGAATTGCCTGGGAGAAAAAAAAAAGGAGACAACGAGAGAACCCCTAAAGGAACAACAATACCAAAAGTTCTCACCAAGCCCCGCTCATCAAAGAATACTTCTCCACCTTCTACACGACTGTAGCAAGCAAGCTCGATCGGCTGTTGATATTAAGCACTTAGAAACATATCCACAGTAAGAATACACTGGATATAGCAAACAATTTTCCCTGTGTCGAAGAGCTTATATGCTAAAAGTGAGATGTTCCTAGATAATGTTACCTCCTGAAAGACTGTAGATTTTCTTGCCAATGTTTCTTTGCTCTTTGAAAGCTTAAGTTCAGAGACAAAACGCTCATCACGTTGATAATACTGAAACCTTGAGCCAAAACCATGACCCTGCCGTCCAGGGTAAGGCCCAGGTCGGGGAAGAAGCCCAGCTCCCCCTCTACCATTCTGCCAACGTCCACGTCCAGGACCCCCTCTTCCACCGTGGTGATTATTGTTCCATTGTGCAGGCAACACTTCCATAATTCAGGAAAATATCAATCAATCATTTTGTTATAAAATAGTAAATACCCAATGGAGAAAAAAAGAGGGCAATGAAAACTAAATGTGCCAATCTTCTCTACGCAAAGCAACTCGTATCTCTAGCAATCCTTCTGATATCTCATGCATCATGCATGTCAACAGCCGAGGTTTTATTTCTCAAACTAATAGTAAACTAGCGATTAATACTCCAAACCAAACATGATATATCCAAATAATACTTCAAAATGGTCGATGAGCAGAGCGAAATCCAAGAGAATTCTACGGAAGAGGGGCACACGCTTCAGGACAGAGCTCCCCTTCGAATGTTTAGCAAAAGGATAATTCAAGAGAAAAACAATTAGGACTACTAAAATGGAAATTGAAATGACATTTCACACCAAAATCTCGCTTACCAGGGATGGAATAGGAGCTGATTGCGGGGGTCTTACAGTAATCTTCATTATCAGATCCAAAAAGATCCTTCTCGTCTTCTTCTTCGTAGCCATGACAACCCCTGTCGCCGCCATTATCGTCATTCCTGTAGCTCTCTAATTCATCTATGCCATGCTCCTCCTCCTTCCGTCCGCTGCTTACGCTTCTGCTTGAACTGCCAGATTCGGCGTCGCGGGGGTCTCCGCCTCTGGAAGAAGATGCAGCCGAAGACGATGAAGATGAAGACGACGGCGACGAGGATGATGAAGCCTTGTTGGAAGACGAAGATCTCGAACGAGATGGGGACTCGTTATCCGAATCTTCTCCGAACAAATCACCCAGCGGGATTTTCCTCGGTGGTGAGTCCATTACAAAGCCTTTGGTTAGGTTTCTGCTCGATCGCTAATCTTCTGGCAAAGCTTGGGAATTTACGAGTAAAGTTCACTCAGTGAGTTGACTCGATTGGGCTTGGGCTTTTTATATTCCGTATTCGCTCGGCCTTTTCTTGGGATTTGCCTGGAGTGAAGCCCAGTTGAGTAAATATAGTTAACTATATTTCTGAAACGACCCCCCAAATTTCCAGTCTTTTCCTCCTAAACCTCAGGCTTTACTTTGGTTACAAATGGCACAATTTCTAAACCAAAATGAATACACATTTCTCCAAATTAAACCGTAATTCCGTAGGGTTGGATATTATATAAACCAAAATAACGGATGGTAAAACAATATATATAGAGAGCAAGAAAACATCACGCTAAGCCAACTAGCTTCTTGAAGTTCTGAACATGCAGGAGCCTCTGAGCTTGAGCGTCAGTTTCAGCTTCGGATGCTCTGATACTTATGTACAGTTTCTTATGAAGCTTCAGATACTCGGTCTTATACATATTTAGATCCGTATAAAGACCACTCCTCTTCATATAATTTATAACTTCCATCACTCTCTCAAAATACCCACCTTTAAGAAAGTTCATCACAAGCTTCTCTAACAGATCCTGTGTTACTCTTAAGCCTCTGCTCTCCATGTTCCTTTTGATGTCTCCCCACACAACTGTGATCTCTCGATACATGCCTAGAGATGAGTACATGTCTATCAAAATCCAAAAGGTTTGGAGATTCGGTGGGATTTTCATCCTCTGAATCTTTCGAAAGTTTCTCAAGCTATCTCCTTTCATTTTAGCTTTGCAGAAGAAGTAGAGGGATGAGTTTAGCTCGTACAGTGTTTGTGGATCTGTCATTTCTTTCTCAGATTCCATTTCCTGAACCAAGAGGGCGCAGAGCTCAGAGTCTTTAGTATCTTCCCCTTTGGTTTCAGGCAAACCCACCATTTCAATTGATTGAACAGTGACCAGACCAGCTTTCTTCATCTGTCTCAGAAGTGCTTCTGCGTTATTTAACATCTTTTGCTCGTAATAACCCGATAAGAGTTTCATGTATGAGGGCAGTCCCATGGGATGACCGGCAGATTCCATGTCATCAAGAATGTCATGAGCAATGTCTAGCCAGCAAAGACTAACACAAGCATCAAAGACATCCGCACATAACTTGGATCCACCCAACAAAAGCAAAAGCTTCGAGAGCTGAGAAACACTCCCATGTTTTTTGTACCCATACACTAGCTTAGCAAGAGCCTTCTTTGTGATCACAAGCTTAGCATTCACATAATCAACGAATTCCGTCTCCATTTCCATTTGAAGAGACAAATCTCTCTGCAAAAGCTCGGGTGAAATTTGGATCTTTAAGCCTGATCTGATATGGTCAGATCCAACAGGCAAAGCCCGAGGTTTCTCTGAGTCAACCCGGAGACTCTGAACTGAGAGGAAGTCCTTAGTCTTGCATACATCTAGGACAAGCCGGCCAGCAGAATCGATATCATCAAATTTGAACTCCAGGCTTAACAAATTATCGTAGAAATGCCGGTAGTGAGAAAGAAGTAGGGCTGGTACCTGATCAATATGCTCCTTGAACTTCTTCAACTCATCCCGCATACCATTCATTTCATAAAGGCGAGAAATGATAACAATTGTGTATGCATCAGCAATAATGCCGGTTTTTGCCATCAGCTCAACCAGTTCTTGGCCTTTGAGAGAGAAACCAAATCTCACACAAGCACCGAGTACGAGATTAAAAATAAGGGTATCAGGTTTCACTACATTCCGACCGCTAAGTTTCTTCCTGCCATCTAGATCCACAACATCATCACAGAGTTGAACCAAATAATTTGAAGCAAGGCATGTTCCGACCTTTGATTTCACCATATGCATGACAACAAGCCTTGACACTTCCACTGGAGGGGTGTAACTCATTTCCAGCATTGCTCTGAGGATATTACAGGCGGGCTCGGGCAGTTGAGCTCTCGATAAAGACATCAACAGTCTCGTAAGAACATCAGAATGAATCAAACCACGGTTTTGTTTCATAGTCAGACTGACTAAATTGCAGGCCTTCCGCAAATAACCAGAATCATTAGAGTAAGAGAGCACCGTGACAAACCTGTTCAACATGGATTTGTCCGGCAAACCATACAACCTTTTGAAATCCCTAAACATACCCCACGCATCATCTATACAGTGATTCTTGAGAGCTGTTTCGAGCTTTTTGCAAAGCACCTCTTGCGAAGAAGCTTCCCAGCTTAAACTCGGAGAATGAACGCTTGTGGAGAGAAATCTGGTATCATTACGTAACAGATCGAGAAGAACGTAAGTTCCTGCGAAGCCTTTTCTCTGGATAAGTCCCCCGAAATTTCCCGGCGAGGAGGTATTCCTCCGGATAATTGCAACCGCGAGGAACTCTAAGGACCGGATTTTGCGAAAGTCGAGATATTTATTGCATCTCACCATAATCACACCTCATAAACTCGATCAAAGGACGTATTTCTGCATCAAACCAAAGGACGTAATCGAGTTTCGGAACTCCGATGAATTCAAGAACAAAAACTGAAGTGAAAATGAAAACAAAAAACAAAAGAGGTACCTTGTTCTCCTTAGTTCCGTTTTTTTTTTTTTTTTTTTTTTTGGAGTGAAGCACTAGAAGAAGGGGAAGGGTGTTTGCTGTAAATTTGATTCCCTTCATTGGGTAAATAGGAGATTTCAAATGAAGGATACTCTTGTTTTGCTCAAAAGGACCCAACAAATCATACATTTACCTTTTTCACCAGGAATATTTAATTTTGATAAATCAACCCTCTTTGTACAATATTCACAAGCCCTTCCTCGAAACGGATATGTACAAAATGGGATACAAAACAGTTAAACAAGGATATGAAGCAAGCAGCCCTATCCCCTTGGGACTTTTCTTAGCTCGACTAGGGATTCAAAAAAGGAACGAACAAAGAAACTCACTCACAAAACTTGTTATTAACTAATGGAGACCCTGAGACTTGCCAGGACCAAAAACACATACGAGTAAAAAAAACATATGACCAAAACTAGGTAGGTGGCTGCTCGACATTTTTCACAGCAAGCAAACTCGGAGCCGGTCTTGGCCATGTTCTTGTCCACCTATCGGACTACATCAGAGGTTTGCTTCTTCTCTCATGTAGCGATCTCGTCCACCTCTGAATTGAAGACAAAACTCGGAAACGTCGTTGTTATATCCCTGCATTTGTCGGCATTTGCATAAGAGCACAATCAAGTTTCCATCCCAAAATAACATTAAAACTGATATAAAAGCAGTTTTCTATGGATAGTGGCTTGCTCTCCAAATTGAGTGTTTATATGGCGAAACATGTTGGCTATGGTTTGAAACATCGGAATTTGAGATAGGATAATTCGCAGACCTCAAATACGGGAGGGTCACAATCTTGAGCAATGACGGATTTTTCATCACAAAATCAAGCCACTCAGATTTATCAATCTTCCCGTCCTCATTCACATCCGCGTCCTGGAACGTCTGTTCATGGAAAGCAGAAAGAACCACATTTTAAAACTTGATACTTCTTAGTCCAGAATAAACTCCTGTCTTTTATTCATCTAATAGTTTCATATATCCAAAAGCATCAAGGCGTGAAGTAGACAACAAGACCTTATCGAGTATCATCTCTATCGTTTCGTCAGCCAGCTTCATTTCAGATTCGCAGAGAAGGGCAATCAGCATTTGCTTCACCTGCCAAAATCACATTCAATGGTTATTTTCTACAAGGTATTTCAAAACCAAGAACACAATTACGGATTGTTCTCATCAGTACCGTCACAGAAGGAGAAAAAGGGCTCTAGAATTTTCTTTCTCAACCCATTTCAACACTTCAAGTATTGGTGACATTTGAACACTGGTACATGCTATACCGTATTTATTTTTTTGTTGCAAGACTACTCAGAAAACGTAAGCAATCCTTTTGTACAATGGAGATTATTACCTCTTGACGCTCAATGAAGCCGGTGCAATCCATATCGTAAAAATGAAATGTAACTGACATCAATGTAAACGAAACCAACATGAATAAAGTTGCAAATTGAAATAAAAACTTGGAGAAATGATACATTTGAAGCTCTTTGATATCGACTTACAGTCTATTTTGTCATCCAGAGAAGCATTGGGGTGGAAAACATTAAGTGACCGTACAAAGTCCCCAAAATCAAGGAGGCCTTTCCGTTTAACATCAAACATATCGAACAGCTGCAATAAATCAAGAACGTTTAATTCTGTATCTTCAATATATTTCAAGCTTAACTAAGAGTTTTTGAAGTTGAGATCACTCCTTCATAAAACTAGGTTTTACCCTATTAGCAAACAAGTTCTCCTTCTTTCTGTTCTTGAACAAAGCAAGCTGAAACTCCTCCTGTACACACACACACACGTGAACGGGAAAACACATCAAATATTTCAAAGTCAAACCAATCAATAAAAAATTGTATTCAAGTCAAATAGTAAGGCTCAGGATAAGATGCATTGAATTCGTTCGACATGGAGGAGCAGACAGATCAGCGTGCAAGTTCAGCTATTAGTGTAATAAATTGGAGCAGGTCAACAGAGTTGACATATGCATGGATAACGTATAATAAGCAAAAAAAGAAAAGAAAAGTGCAACGATCGATCTGGAACTGTACATTGCGTCTTCAAGATCCAATGACGTGAGAAAGAATCAAGATTATCGATTATCTTTACCTTGCTTATCGAGACAACATGGATAACGTAAAATAAGCAAAAAGAATAGAGCAGCCATTACTATGAAACTGTACGTCTTTGAGATCCAATGATGTGAGAAAAGAGTCGATATATTTACCTTGCTTATCAAGCCATCATCAACAACCAAACTACTTATGCTCTTGAATAACTCAAACAGTGCTTCAACCTCACTCACACTGACTGTAAAACAGAAAAAACACAAACAAGAAATGCCGCAAGATCAAACAATAATTCATTGGGGGAAAATTGATCCAATAACTTTTGAACATCTCCAATATTGAGATAAGACTATATAAAACAGACCTTCTCAGAATTCTCGTACCAGGATATACTATGGATTCAATTTGCAACACTATGTAACAGAGAAAAGGCTTAAGTAATTTGTTAAAAACATCCCCGAAAGAAAAGATGAATTAACTTCGAAAAACTTTGCAGATCAACCCTTTTGAACCCGATTAAATTTAGAACCTCAAGTAATCTAGACTGATGATTTAACGCGAAGGCTGGTGCACAAGATGATATGATGCTTCTCGTATAAGCAGAAACATCCTCAAGACAAAAGATCAACTAACTTTGAAAATTTTAGAAGATCGAGAAAAAACACGTAAAAAGACCCTTTTTGAGAATACTCAGAACGAGAACCATCCTAGATAGAAGATGGATTAGATTCAAAGTCAGATGTAGCATGCTGTCAAACTGAGATTAACATGTGAATCAACCCTGCAAGGAGCCGCCTTCAGGTTATTCGCAGAGATTTAACCTAGTTGGACAATGTGCTTCGACTTCATTAGGACTAACAGAAAAAACCAGAGAAATGTTTGGTACCACAAGATCAACAAAAACATCCCAGAAAGATCAACTTTGAAACATTCGGAAGGTCAAGATAAACTGTGTAAAGAAGACCGTTTTCAAGAATTTTAATTGGGAATAGAAAACCCCAAGGGAGAAAAAGGGATCAAATTAGGGACAGCAACAAGAATATTGTGACTCCCATAGCAGAACATGAGTAAAATTGTAAACGCAACGTCATCTAGGGTTTCTGCTACTCGAGATTTGAGAAAGAAGAAGAAGAAACTTGCTGTGCAAGTAACTTACAAGCCGTCTCAGAGGCTAGCTTGACGGGGTCCTCGTGTCCCGGAAACTCTCTAGCTGCCTTGGACTGGAAGCAGCCCATTTACGGATCACAAGGCCGAAGAAACCTGTGATGAAGAAGAAGGCAGCAGATAATAGAACCGCTACTTCAAGGGTTTCTGAGATGCTAAGCTCGATCACTGCTATTACAGAATGGAGATCTGAATCAAAACAGATTCCAGAAAATTAATTTAGCTGAATGTGCAAGGGATGGGTTCCAAATTTACAAAAACGGAGTAGAGTATCATAGAAACCCTCAACAAAAATCAACGACAAGAATTTTCCCTTGATCTTGGATCGAATCAAAATTTCTCGGAAATCAACCAAACAAACCATGAAATATGTTATAAAACAAAGAGACGAACTCTAAACCCCTGGGAAAAACATCAAAACCCATCAAGACTTCCAGGAGAAAACTAGTGGCAACCAAAGAAAAAGCCTTTTTTTTAGGGAAAAAAAACTATCTGTAACAAAAGATCGAATCAATTAATCACAGACAAAAAAAAGAACAGATTTCGAAGAAAAAAAACAGAATTTGAAAAAAAAAATGATCAGACAGATAATGCAGGAGGGGTGCGAGAATCCCCAAAGCCAGAAATCAATTGCACAGCGCGATTAATCACCCCAAAAAAAATGAAAAGACGGAATCATAAGAAAATCACTCAAAACGAAACGAGCACTCACCGATGAGAGAAGGAGAGAGAGGAAGAACATGAGGGTACGGATTGGAGAAGGGAGATGGCTGAAATCGACCTCATCACCGATTGCAGAAGCTGGGTTTTTGTTCTGCAAAAGGAGCATAGCTTATAAGATGAACGTCACACGTGTGAATCCCCTGTGCTCGTGCGAGGTCCTTTTGTAATTGTTTCTTTATAAAGCGCGTCATGTTTTTATTTTTTTGCTTGGTCAGGAAATTCAGTGACAAAGGCGGTTTCGGAAGTTAACAAAATTTCCAGACATCTCCGTTAGACTGTTGCTCCTTATTTTCTGTAACTGGAATAAAACATATCTGAAATCTTTACCTTAAAATGGAATTTAAGACCACGGCATTCGAAATAAATCTTATTACATTGAATTCAAATTCCTATACGCGTGAAATTCTGTTTGGGAAAACAAATATTTGAAACTTTAAGAGCTTGATCTTAAAATTAATCTGGACATCGTGCTTAATAATTGTTTGGGTCACCTTTTCCTTGTAGAGTTATTTGGGAAATATTTTAATGGTTCTTTTATCGTTAAAAAAAAAATTATAGATCGTCGGAAACTATAACTGTTAAATTTTGGCATGTATGGAATCTTCTTCGGGATGGTGGGAATATCAAATAATGAAAATTCACGAGGCGTGAGTGAGTGGTGATCGATTATCTCCATCGAATTTGCTCCCAAATGTCGTTATGGAATTATGCCACTTTAGATTCTTCTATCCTTTCAGACACCAACAATAACATCAAATATATATATATATATATTTTTAAAACGTGAATCGGCAGTTTAACTCGTATATTATATACATCCAATCCATTACCACACATACATATATATACACCATACACGCACGCATAGATTCGTACGTAGGCATAGACATATACTAATGGAAAAACACATATTCGTCGCTTTCACGAGCATCATATAAGAAATAACTACAAAACTCGACATTATTGCTACAGTTTAGTTGAGACTAGACCACGTGATTAACGTCCACATAGCTACAAAATTGACAGTATTAAAAGGCATAATTATTATTAATCATTAAAATGTCCCCTAGTGAACGCCATCTTTCGTATTATGAATTCAAGACAACAAGCGATAACTTGGCTAGAGAAACATATGTTCTAACAACTTTGTGTTATATTCAGATCTACACTACCTCCAACTTTAAGCAATCAATTTTTTTAAATATAGCTTTGAGTCGATTTTGAAGCATTCTTTAAAATTAAAACTATATTAAAAAAAAAAAGATTAGAATATGTGATTGAAATATTTAATTCAGAAAGAGAACAAAATTGACAAATGGAATGAAATGAAAGTAAAAGGGTTCTATTAGCAACAAACGAATAAATGATATTTTTTAAAGAGAGTTGATTAGTTGATGAATTATACATCTTGATGGCTTGAATTGACTAATGAGTCGGGAGAGAGAGAGAGAGAGAGAGAGAAAACGAAGACACCCGAATCTTTGACATTGTCATATGCCGTGTCGGACAAAATTAAGGACTTGTCGTAAAGACGACGAAAGAGAAAGCAACTGAATATACAAATCAAACCCCCTTTTCACCGACCACATTCCGTCGACAATATGAGTGAGCTTGCCGATGTCGGAGGATCCCACTACAAATACTCCCCATCTCTGCTCAGACGCCGCCATTTTCGCCTGTCCGAAGACGTCGAAGATGGAGAAAGTCTCCCCATGCAGTACGACGTCGTTCCGCTTATCCTTTTTAAGGAAATAAATGATTTTCCTTTTTTTGCCCTTTCGACCCAAGCCCACACCGGATATTGTCAAATCAGGCCCATATGGGATCAACAGTATGCATATAGCATATTCATGCTGGATGGGGTATAAATGTAAGAGTTTAAAACTAGGAGGGTATAACTGCAAAAAACATATTTTCCTCATCTTAGGGTTTATCTGTCCCAAAACACGAATATTTTCAAAGGGTTTTACAGAGGGGTGATTCAGAGAGACGAGCCAAAGGGGAAAAAAAAGAAGAAGATCAACGGCGATGTCATCCAATGTGATTGCTTCACTGTCGCAGAGCTTTAGACAGGTTCCACCACCAGCTGTTCCTGCCTTTCTGGACTGTCTTTTGAGCTCAACAAGCGTATCTCCTTCTACCCTCTACGGATCACTCGTCGAAGACTTTCCCAATCTCTTAGAGGTATGCCTTGTTTTTTTTCCTTGTCATTCCGTGGACAAACCATGTCCGCGCTTAGCATCACAAGCTTCGGAACTCCGTTATATTCCCTCACGGTTCATATAATTATTCAACATTGTATTGGATTATACCCTAAGTAACTCTCCTTGTGCCGATGAGCTCAGCCTTAGTCCATTGTATCATCTTTCAAGGAGGGAGGACATGTTGCATTGCGCTACGATGGGTGCTTGAACGAGTAGCTGTTTAGGATTTTCTTGTTTCTGTGGTTAATTTCAACCTGGGTTAGGATTTTAGAGTTGTTTCTAAGTTTCGTTATTGGAAACTTTGTTCGATGGGGCACTGATGCACTTAAATAGGACTCCATAAAAGGGGAGAAGAAGTTTGACTCTGATTGCTGCAACTATGTCGCATCATTGGTGGCTGGGCTATGTCATCTACTGGAGAAGTTTGGTGAGTTCGATATTGGAATTTTGTGAAATATGTATCTAATACTGAAGCACATATAACACTATCAATTTGGCTGGTTAGAGATGCGCTTTATTGAGCTTATGAGGTTGAGGCGGCTTTCTGTTTGATTATTCACACCAGTTTTGGCACAGGATCAGGAAATGATCATAATGGACTGCAGTTATTTGTCGGGAGAGTCTTTATCCCGCTAATGGGGATGGTCCGTGCATATGATTCGGAAATGCTTAACAAGGTTGTGTACTGCTGTCATAACTCACATTGTCACATCTCTGCTTGCTTGTAGCTGATTTTGTTCCTTTTTTTGTTTGTTTGTACCAGATTATACGGTCTTTCTTTGATGTAGTGATTAGGACTAATGCATGGGATATGTTGCAAGCGAATTTGGTGCAGTTTTTACTGAAATCAGTTGGTGTTTCTGTTGGTATGCTTCGACATGGAGAATCAGATATCATCAAATGGGGGGAGTTTCCAGTTACTGATGGTCCAACTGATGAAAATGGCATTTTATCACAGTTTTGGTCCTTTCCACTTTCGCTGTCCTGCCATCTCCTGACTGTGGCATTTGAGGCTGCTTTTCAAAATCTTCAAACAGATTCTACGGCGGAAAAGTTTGCAGCTGATTTGCTTTGGGATTTGTGCAACATGACTGAGCGATTGTTGTTACTGAGTGCGGAGCATCGTTCATGCGCTGTTAGCTTTCTCCTCCCTGCTATTTTCAAGGCATTTGCTGCTCAGTGCTCATTGCAGATCTCACTTCATGGAACAATGTACATACTTTCAAGGTAAAGGTTAACCACCTGAAAATAATATACCTTTAATTAAGTGTATTGTTTTGTCATTGGTTATGATTGTGAAACTGTAATTTCCAGGAATAATTTCATCAATAAAATTTGGGAATGCTGCAAAAAGCTTTTCTCGGTTGGAACTTTAGAGAGAAGGGATGCCTATAGTGTACTCTCTTTGTATCTTCCTTCTGTCTGTTACAAGGAAGGAAATGGGAGTCATGTCTTAGAAGGAGAAGCTGTAGAATTTGACTTGAGATCTGAAAAAGAGTTTTGGGATGAAATCAAGAAAGGCTTGGTATGCCAATTATATCCCCTACTTCTGAAGATGTTTAGTTTTCCACGTCAAGTGCGTAGATGATTAGAAAAGCCAATTATTTTTTTCCATTCAGGTTGATGATGAGAGCTTGGTGAGGAAGCACTCATTGCATATACTGAAATCTGTTCTAGCCATAAGTGAAGTGAACCAGGACCATTCAAGCCATCCAAAAAAGAAGTCCAAAAGAGATTCAGCTCCTCGTGGTATGACGAAGAGGGAGACATGGGCCAAAAAGGAAGCCAAGTCACTTGGTGTCGGGAAGTTGTTTGGCTCAATTGACTCTGGGTTGACGAGTCAGCAAGGATGGGAAGCTTTTCTGCTTCTGTATGAGATGCTTGAGGAATATGGTACTCATCTTGTTGAAGCAGCTTGGAGTAACCAGGTCTGACACTCATTTATCTCAACTTGTAATTTTTTTTTTGTGATAGTTTCTATTCTGGATGCTTTTTTCCTCCTTTGCTGGAGCTTCTCTGCTCATTCCTTTGTAATTTCTTGCAGATTGACTTGCTACTCAAGTCATCTTTCCCTGGTGATAGATCCTTGAACTTCACAAGTGAGGGTTCTCATCAACGTCACGTAGAGACTCCAGATGAAGCAACTGGAATTTCTAATTGGTTAGAAGTTCTTTGGAATCGGGGGTTTCGTCATGATAATCCTATAGGTACTGATTGCTTGATGGAACATCTTATTTAACTACAGTTTCTATAGTCTTTTCCACTGGTCCATCAGACAAATTAATCACTCGGAAATTAGGATTCTTATGGTGATATGATTTGCCTCCGAGATATTTGCCTGTCATGTTCATTCTTTTATTAATTCATCTTTTTAAATTGTAGTCAGGTGCATGATTATGGAGTCATTTCTAAAGGTTGAATGGAGTAGATATGGAAGTCTCACGAGATCAATGCGCGAAAGCTTTGTTCTTGGTCCATTCATGGAGGGTTTGAACGATCCCATCCACCACAAAGATTTTGGTAGGTGCTTGAATCTTATTCGAGCAAGTTATTTCAGCGTCATTAATATATTTAGGAGTTTTCTTGCTATTGGTTTCACTTGGTAATCTTGCTAAAGGAATAACTAGATTTATTTCTTGCTTGTATGGCATGTCTCAGGCCTTAAAGGAATCTATAGCTCAAGGACAATTGAAGGTGCAGTTCGATTTGTATATGTGTATACAAGTTGCCTCAACCCAGAGTAGGGAGTTTCAAACTTAAGTTACTTAACGCACGTCCATCTTCTTTATGGTTTTGGCAGATCATGTTGTCTTTGCTGCTCCTGCTTATTTCTATTATTGCTCATATACAGATATTCAGAAATTTGAAAGTTCTCAAGCCTTTGAGACTTTTATGGGCATGTAGTTTTTTTTAATCATTATGCTTGTCTTAGTGGTTTGCTCATCTTTTCAGGCATCAGATGGGTTTTGTAATCAATTTGGCATCTCTTGCAAAAAAGCAATCTTTTGGTAGGGCTGGGTTAGTGGCTCTTGGGGAATGTATTGCTTCTTCAGCTGATGTAGTTGGAGGATACAGGAACATGGAAATGGAAAGTCCCAAAGATGAACTTTCCAAGGGGTCCCAAGTTGAATCTTGTAATGGGCATATAATTCAAGATGATATAGCACGTTTACTGGATGTCTTGAGGTTTGTTGCGGAGAGCAGCAAACAACATTTCAATCCTAATTATCGTGTTCGAGGTTTGTAATAAACGAAATGGTCATATTTACTTATGTCTCTTATGGCTGTTTGTGCATTTCTTCAAGATAATTCTAACATTTGAGCATCATTGTTTGAACTGTGATTTTACCAACACTAGTGTATCAGAAAATGTTGGAAGCTGCTGCTTCAGTGGTGAATCCTTGCAGTGTTCCTCTTGGCATACTTCTGCAATTTATTTCAGCATTTCCTCGGGATTTCACTGATTATAATGGTGAGCAAGAAATCTGTTTCACTTGTCCAATGTATGCAGAGCATTTTCTGACAGCATCTTCCTATTTCAGGTTCCTTACGGAGAGCCATGCAAGAATGGCTCTGGGGTTGCGGCAGAAAGCATTCAAACTACACTAGTGATGACTCTCGTGTTCTGGAAAGTCTTAATGGGTATCTGAATGGATTTGTTAGTAATCGTGTCGAGAGTTTTGATGATGAAGACTTGGATACGTGGGAAGTTCAAACAAAAAAATGGGCGAGAGTACTTTTCCTCGTAATCAATGATGAAGAAGATCTTTCCCATATCCTGCTGGTTTGTAGTCTTTGGCTGTGTTCTTAACATACCGGACTAAAATTTATGGAAAAATCTTTATATTACTCTTTATTTTGTGTTGTGTGCTTTGTGGTTGTTATGTGTTGGAAATTTGACAGTCTTGTTGATTTGCAGTTCATTCAAAACCATGGGGTTAGCATCTGCAAACAGCAAAACCAACTGGAGTGGTCGCCTGTAAAGTTTCTAATCCTTATTTTGGGTATACTTATGGAGCTTAATATTCTGCAAGAGGGAATTACTGAGCTCTGTGCTAACGTAGAAGACAAGTCAAACAACGGCTTTATAGAGAAAGCTGAAGGATGGATTATTGCCAGAGCTCCAATCATTCATGAAAAGTTTGTTGTTGTTTACTTATCAATCTTGGTAATCATGAAACGGAAGCATGTCGAACTTCCTTGCTAAACAATGATGTATTTGTTTTTCTTCTATCCGTGCTTAATTGGATGTTCTTTCGTGGCCTGATAATGCAGGAGGACCTGATATCTTATGCAGATTCATTATGTTCAATATTCTCGTCTCACATTGCCATGGAGAATGAGAATCTGCCTGGTTCTGTAAGAGGGAAATTAGGGGGACCAAGTCAGCGCCGACTGTCTATTTCCACTACGACTGCTGTCTTGGGAGCTGTATGTTTTCTTTTCTTATAGTTCGTGTAGAATACATAAATGTACTAGACTCCATAAGCTTATTGTGTCTGTATGAATGAAGCCACAAAATTGAATGACTATCATTTATCTTATTTATGATGAACAGGTAACATCTGTGAAAGCTATTGCGTTGATCTCATCATATTGCATTCAGTTCAAGAGTGGTGTTCAGCTCAAGTTTGCATTGGCTTTCTTTTGGAAGTTCTTCCAGCATACTATTTCATCTCAAAAGTGTAATTCTGAGGTATGCTGTCATCTCAAATTTCCAGACAACTGGTAACATGAACTATGTCTTATATCTTCGTATACTTTTCACTTCTCTTAAATTGATTCCCACTAACCTGAATGTTTCTGGCCAGGTTTCGGCTGAGATCTGCCTTGCTGCATTTGAAGCACTAACTCCAGTACTGAACACATTTGTTTCCTTGTGTTTAGCTGAAGCTTTTAATCTTTTTGAAAACTACAACACATTATTAACTTTGGTAGATGACAAAACTTGGTTAGAAGTCTTGGTCTCATCATTTCTTCAAAACATTAATGATCTTCTTGCAACTGGATTTTTGGTAAGGACTAGGCGGGCAGTCCTGCTGAACTGGAAGGTAACACGTCTTCTATTATTTATGTATTTATTTTAATGCGCTATTGTCTTGGAAGTGGGGTGATGGAATTGTATTTTGAAAAGACTCTTTTCAGTAGCCTTCTGCATTTTTTCAGTTTTGAGAGAACGACTGACTCTTTGTTTTTGATTCAGTGGCTTTGTGTGGAGTCTCTTTTATCACTCATGCATTTTGTTCAGACTAGACATATTTCAGAGGATAGGAGATCGTTATTCTCAGTTGACACAGTCAAAAGCATCTTCAATGATATTTTGGAAAGGTGAGATAAAGTTGATTCAACTGTTTCTGAGATTGGTATTTCTTGCGGACTCTATAAAATTCAAGTTGCTTTCGCTTTCAAACTTTCAGTGGCTGTGGAATTTCATCTTGGACTTCCATCATTGTTGTGCATTGCATGAATGCATGAAAGTATTAAAGGAACTTAATGACTGCAAGAAAAATTTGGAATTTCACTAAGTTTTCATTTTTGTACAACCTAATAATTTCTCAAATGAATGGGCCGTAGTTCTCATTAACAAATGTTGTTTCAGCATGGAACCTTTGTCTTTATTTTTGTAACTTCAGGCTCTTTCTTTTGATTTTCAGTCTTGAAAATGCCGGGGAGTGTTCTGTTTTGCCTATGCTGAGATCTGTCCGGCTTTCTTTGGAGATACTTGTCTCTGACAAATCAGATTGCAATGATTCCTCATGTGTAGACATCCAGGTTTCATTTGTATTATTGCTAGATTGAATGGAATTTTCGTCTGAAAAGCCTCTTTCAAAAATGAAGATGTGTGATCATTTCTGGTGGTACCTTGTGCGCAGATGGTGTGGCGGTTGGTCAATTCATGTTGGATACTGCATATCAGCTGCAACAAGAGACGGGTTGCACCCATTGCTGCTCTCTTGTCATCTGTCTTGAATTCTTCTTTGTTTGGCAACATGGACATGCACATAACTAAAGATGGATCAGGTCCTCTGAAATGGGTATGCAGCTTTGTTTTTTTTGGTAAAATCATTTAAACGAACAAGAGAAAGAAAAGGCTTGATGATTTACCATTGTCTTTTCACAGTTTGTGGAGAAGGTTCTCGAGGAAGGCCAAAAAAGTCCCCGTACAATCCGTCTAGCAGCATTACATCTAACAGGGCTCTGGCTCTTGTATCCTAGAACTATAAAGTACTACATTAAAGAATTGAGGCTTCTGACTCTATACGGTTCTGGTGTGTCTAACAGCTTTTCTTTCTTTCATGTCATCTTTTTTCTTTAATTGCTTAATCATATTAAACTGTTTGTCTCTTGAATTGTGATCTTAGTTGCATTTGATGAGGATTTTGAAGCTGAATTATCTGACAATAGTGATGCAAGAACTGAAGTATCATTATTGGCAAAAAGCCCAGACCCTGAGCTGACAGAAGTAAGATTCATATTTAGGATACCACATTTAAAACTTTGGCCTCATTAATTAATTCAGCAAAATGATGTGCTCCATTGTTCTCTCAGGTTTTTATCAACACGGAGTTATATGCACGTGTCTCAATTGCTGCTCTGTTTCACACACTGGCTGATTTAGCTGATACGGTTGAACCAGTCTGTCATAATAAAGATTTCAAGGATGCGCTTGAGTCTGGAAAATTGTTTTTGTTGGAGCTTCTTGATGCCGTGGTACTTTAAAGTTTATTTATTATTGTGATAAAATTAGTGTATTAAATTCTGTTGATTACTATATGTGGTGGCAATGATCTACACTGGTCACTGGATGCTGCACTAGTGGGTGAATTATGATCACTGTTTCCAAGATCCAATTTATGGATTTCTAATTGGACTTCATTTTGGCACAGGTTCGTGACAAGGACCTTGCAAAGGAACTTTACAAGAAGTATAGTGCTGTAAGTATTACATTCCATATCTGTTATTTCTCTCTTTTAAGTTTCAACAAGTGACACTAAGTGAACATATAACACAAGTAATCAAACCATATTGACTGTAATTTCTTGGCCCTTTTGAGCAGATCCATAGACGAAAAATACGTGCTTGGCAGATGATATGTATTATGTCACGATTTGTCAGTGATGACACCGTTGGCCAAGTTGCAGAGAGCTTGCATCTATGCTTATATGTAAGTGACCAAGAACAGACTCAACTAAATAGCGAAAGATTGCCTCTTGCTTATTATACAAATATCTGTACTATGTTCCAGTTTATATGACATAATGGTTCCCCATGTGGTTTGCTTGCAGAGAAACAACCTGCCTGCTGTTCGGCAATACCTAGAAACCTTTGCCATCAACATTTACTTGAAATTTCCATCACTGGTAAGTAACTTCTTGATGTTATCCCATAAAGAAACTTGTAGTAAAATTTTGTTTATGAAATATTGCTGGAGAAACTATGCTTCTTAACAGGTCGAGATAACATTTATGCTTCCACCCTTCTGGAAATATTAAAAGTTTCCAAAATTTTGTCTCAAGTTTTCAAAATTTTGTCTCTGTTTAGTCATTATTATTTGGTTGCATCACAGGTTGAAGAGCAGTTGGTTCCTATACTTAAAAATTACGACATGAAGCCTCAGGTGAATCTTGTGTAGGACAAGTTCCTTTCCTAAATTTATGTGAAAACCATTTGAATTTTGTAGAAGTCTTCAAAGGAATCAATTGATAGCATTTTCATTTGGTGTACTAGCATTTTCATTTGGTGTACTGCAGGCTCTCTCATCCTACGTCTTTATAGCAGCCAATGTCATCCTCCATTCACAGAAAGCAACTCAACAAAAGCATCTGGAAGAACTACTCCCACCAATAGTTCCATTATTAACCTCACATCATCATAGCTTGCGTGGTTTTACACAGGTCTGTTTTATAGAGACCCCATCTGCGTGTGAAATCCCATATTCTGATTAGCCTATGATTTCTGTCATATTTTGGTCTTACTCTCATTTCCTCTTGTTGTCATTCTACAGTTATTAGTACATCAAGTATTGTTTAGACTGTTTCCACCTCTACAGTCGGCATCCTCTCAATCGTTGCCATTAGAGAATCGTTCTTTTGAAAATTTGAAGTCATACCTCGACAAGAATCCTGACTGTGCAAGGTATAATGTCATTCTCGAGTTGACGTCTCTATTAGTTCTTGAACAATTGAAATTGTGATTTGTGAATATTCTTTTGTGATGTAGATTACGATCATCAATGGAAGGATATCTTGGTGCCTATAATCCCAGTACTGCTGCCACTCCTTCTGGCGTTTTTGTCAACCGAGTTGAGGTAAGCAACATGATCAAACTAACCACTCTCTACCAGAAGTTATCTTATTGGTTCCTACCGATCTATGGGCCTTTGGTTGTTTTGTCTTCAATGATTTGCTCTTGAGTGACGGACAATGACACTTCTTGGGTTTTGTCATTATTATGATTCGCATTCCTTGAATGGTACCGTTGCCAAACCAATTTTAACATCATTTCTTGATGATGGTGTAGGAAAATGACTTCGAATGTGTTCCAACATGCCTAATGGACCATGTGCTTTCTTTTCTGAATGTAAGCAGAAAAACAATTGTAGAATATTTTTCTCTTTTATGTTTGCTGCTGTCTCATTTTAAAGGGTTGCAGAATGTAAGGGAAGATCTTCGAGTTTCCATGGCAAAGGACGCAGACATCATTAAGACCGAAGGCTTAAAGATTGAAGAAGATTCCAACTGTACTGAGAGGAAGTCCACTTCTGCGGAAGAAAGGCTACCTGAACCATTCACAGACCTTCCCCGGGATTTCCAGAAAAAGATTACCCTATCCAAGCTCGAACAGCAAAATGCTCGTTCTAGTTCCATGCTAGCGCATGAGGAAAGTTATAAAAAGCTTATGGGTATGTACATGATACGAAGCCCATTTCTTCCATTCACGTTCTGTAGCCATATTCTTTGCATTCTCCCTACATCATACCGAGAAAAGTACTTTTCCTCGGAATTTTACAGAAATGGAGAAGGAGGATGAGCTTGTTAGTCAGCTCTTACGGTCTAGAAGCATGGAAGTTGAACGGTTGAAAGCGGGTCGGCAGAGTTTAATTGTTGTGGCTTCATTTCTTGATCGTATACCTAATCTTGCTGGACTAGCCCGTACATGCGAGGTATAGTTGTTTCTTTCTTACTCTCTGATCCAAGGAAAAAAAAAGGATTCATCTTTTTGGCTCTTACACGCTCTACTTGTGTTAATGCCACGACTGCATCCTTCCAGGTATTCAAAGCATCAGGTCTTGCTGTTGCAGACACAAGCATAATTAACGATAAACAGTTCCAACTGATAAGGTACAGTAATTAAATCGGATAATCTGCTCAAGAATTTTCTTATTGCAAAATATAGGTAATATTCAAGGGAGAAAGTTGAAAGGTCTTTTGAGGAATCATAAGTTGGTAAAATTTTTTCTTCAATCTTAATCAAACACTTTAGAATATCCTGATCAATTACTGATGTGGATTTCTCGGGATGTAATTGTATTATCAAAGTATAATAGATCCAGAGACTCAACTCCGATGCATGTTATATAAATTGGAGAGTGTTAACATGAATCTTTAGATCATTTATATGGGTTGTATTCTGCAGCGTGACGGCAGAAAAATGGGTTCCAATCATCGAAGTTCCAGTTAACAGTTTGAAGCTGTATTTGGAGAGAAAGAAACGAGAAGGGTTCGCAATCTTGGGATTGGAGCAGACAGCAAATAGCATTCCGCTGGACAAATATCAATTTCCAACCAAGTCGGTAAGTTAGAAACATTAGATTTTCTTGGCCCTGTGTTCTTTATTTTTCTCTGCCACTGTGATGTGATGTGGAACCTAGTAATCATTGTCCTGGCCTTTTCATGGAACTGGCTATCTGTTGTTGGTGTGAAGGTGTTGGTGCTGGGGAGAGAAAAGGAGGGGATACCAGTGGACATAATACATGTATTAGATGCTTGTGTCGAGATTCCACAGCTTGGAGTTGTGAGGTCACTCAATGTTCACGTCAGTGCTGCCATTGCCATCTGGGAATACACCCGACAGCAACGCTGTCCACCCCCCTAGTTGTCACTTTCTCTTGTCCAAATGCCCATACATAAGATGGGTGGTTTCTCCATCGTCATTCATCATTAACTTACAGATTCATCTGATGCCTGTTTGCTATTTGTACCATATTCTGCTCCCTTTCGTTTTGTTTCTTTTTAATTTATTGGAACCAAGAATAATTGCATATTGCTTTTCATGTGGTTAGTGCTTTTTCACTTGGAGATTTTTACAGGACCTATTAAGACCTGACTCCACACTTCAAGGTAAAGCACCCCCGGAGACTGTTTTGGGATCTGCTCGTCTCCTGTGCGTTTTCTCGCATCTCATTTTATAACACTTCATTTATACATGAAACCGCCTTCTTCTCATCATCCGGGCCTACTTCTTGAGGAAGCTATAAATAGGGGTAGGCTTCATTTATACCAGTACTATTATCACATAAAGTAGAAGCGGTGAATGGTGTTGGAGTCATCGTCTATCCAAGGGACTTGCCATTGACGGTCGTATAAAGTAACCTCTTGGATAAGAACTCCGGCCACAGCTATGAACAAGAGTGTCTTGTAGAACAAGTTTCCCATTTGGTCCACCAAGTACGCCATGAAGACCATTGAGCAGCTCGGCTTCTGGAAGGTGGTATCTCCTCATCCATCCCCACCATGGTACAATGGAGGTGTCGAACAACACTGGTTCCTCGTTACTGCTTTTTTCCGGCTTCTCTTCCAGCCATTTTCTCCTCCTTGCCTCTGCAATTCCCTTTCTCTTGTCACTTTTTCGCAAATTAATAAACAACTGTCATTCAGATTCATTCTAACCAGCAACGATTACAGCGTCCCAATCGGTGCTCCCATCTTTCACGAACTGCTTCAGATCCCATGTCCCATCAACCCACCTCGACTCCTGGAGTACGCCCACCGTCTTCGTCTCTCCACCCCCGACCGCACCACTCTCCGCCGGCGGCGACGGCGGAATCTCTTTGACTACCGCGGCCGGCTTAGGAGGCTCGATCGCGGGGGTAGCGCCGGGGGGAGGTGGTGACATTGTCGGCGGAGGATCGAGGAGGGACGGAGAGGAGAGAGAAAGAGGTCTTGGGAACGAAATTGAGGTTTTGGAGAGAGGAAGGGAACAACGCCATGGAAATGGACATTTGTTCTTTGCTCCTCGCTTCTCAGCTTTTCTTCTGAATACGGCAACGAATGAAATGGAGCCTTGGGACAAGTGATTTTATCGTTAAACCGTGGCAGCAGTGTGTGTCGTTTTCGCTTCATCCAGTGCAACTACGTAACGTTTCTCTTTTGTGAAAAACGGTTTCAAATATGGGCCACAGAGGAGCCCAACTAGATCGGACCTTTGGGCATCAACAACTGATTCCAACCGCTGTGGTATTGACTTCAGAACACGTGGGCGTCATTCATTGATTGAACGAAGAATGCGACGATTTTATAAGTTTCCAGAACTACCCTAGCTGGTTTTCCATGTGTAGGGTGGGTGGCTTATAATTAATGTGAGATCATAAATGGGATGGGCAGAAGTGGAAATTGTCAAGTTACTTCCTTGCCCCTTGTAACTGCCAAGGTCTCCGTCGACTCTTTTTCTCGGTGTTTCACTTTCAGTTTTCTCTCCAATCTAGCAAAACCATGGACGCGTTCTCTTCCTTCTTCGACTCACGACCCGGCACTCGCTGGAACTATGATTCTCTCAAGAACTTCCGTCAGATTTCTCCCATCGTTCAGTCTCATCTTAAGCGTGTAAGTTTTCGCTTAATTCCTCGCCAAAACGGCGTTGTTGATTGGAGATCAAATTGGCGTTTAGAAACTCGTTAGGTTAGTTTTTGTATTTGTTATATTACATGACTGATCATGCTTCTAATTCTGTTTCGTTTTGGAGTCTCGATGTTTCTGATTGTTCGATCGCGTCTCGATTCATAGGGCTTTGTTTTTGTTGCCGTTTAATTGATAAGGGGACTACAATGCAAGGTTTTGAATGAAGTTTTGGGTTTATGGGGTTTCTCTTTTTTTTCATTGCTTGGGGCAGAGTGAAATCGAAAGAGGATTTTATTCGCTGTGACTGAAGGTGATTGAAAACTGTACAAGCCAATGGGAAGTGCGTATCATGATTCTTGTATGGAAAGTGTTGGTCTTCGGCGATAGATAATGGGCGATTCTTGCTAATTATGACTTTGTGACTTCCTCTATATTGTGACTTTGTTTTTGTTCTTGCGCGCAATGTTTCTTCTTATAAAGTAAAGGAGTGCGCTCATGGTTCTGGATCCTCCGTTCATTTTTATTTGTTGTTCTAAAATTGTAGGTATATCTCACCTTGTGCTGTGCTTTGGTTGCATCCGCCTTTGGCGCGTATCTTCACCTTCTGTGGAATATAGGTGGCCTTCTCACTACATTCTGTCTCCTTGGAAGCATGATTTGGATGCTCTCTTCTCCTCCATATGAACAAGTATGCCCTTTTTCATATTGTCTTGAACATTTATTCCTTGCTTGTGGTGTTATGACATTTGTTTTCCTGAATGCAGAAAAAGAGGGTTTCCCTTCTGTTGCTCTCTGCAGTTCTTGAAGGTGCTTCCGTTGGTCCAGTGATCAAGTTGGGCATCGACAACGATCCTAGGTGCTTATCGCTAGCAGTTTTTGTCTTGAACTTGCCAAATTCCTTGTTATGAATATTTGTTGGTAATGCATATGAAACAAATTACATGTGTCATGATTTTCATTGACTGACGGTGGTATGTTTGTTTCAGAATCGTGATCACCGCATTCATAGGGACCGCAGTGGCTTTTGTGTGTTTCTCGGTGGCAGCAATGTTGGCAAGGCGGAGAGAGTACCTCTACCTTGGAGGGTTGCTTTCGTCAGGCGTTTCCATGCTTTTGTGGCTCCACTTGGCCTCTTCCATATTTGGTGGCTCTGCAGCTGTCTTTAAGTTTGAGGTAAACTGTCTTTCAGTAACCCCAAACTCTTCATAGGAATAACCTTCTGTTTTGGAAACATGTTCATGTTGTCTGCAGCTGTACTTTGGGCTGCTGGTGTTCGTGGGATACATGGTGGTGGACACTCAGGAGATAATTGAGAAGGCTCACAATGGAGACATGGACTATGTGAAACATGCCTTGACACTATTCACTGATTTCGTTGCAGTCTTTGTCCGAATTCTCATCATCATGGTAAGTTTTAAGTTGGCCTGATTCGTAAGTAATGGTTTTCGTGGTAGACATTTTAAATTTCGGGTGTGGTGCAGTTGAAGAACGCGTCGGAGAAAGGAGAGAAGAAGAAGAAGAGGAGAAGACAGAGTTGAGTCCGCTCTTGTTTTTCCACACATGGAACTGGTTAGGGTTTGGTGTGTTTAGGTGACAAGAGAAGGGTGAAGGGATTTCAGTTTACATTTTGTGTGAGTGATGTCTCTGATCCGACACACACACACACACATACGTACGTACATATGCAAACAAATGGGTAAAAGGTTGTGAGATTAAACCCAAATCACCATGAGGCGGCAGGTGGTAGTGATGAAAGTGTGAGGTTCTCTGAACCAAGGCCCGCATTCTGTTTATGCCCCCAAACCAATGCTTCGCATTGTTTTTAATTATCACTACTCCAACAAAAGAGTGTGTGTGAATGTCGTTCATTTATAGATTATGATACTAATTAATGACTCTCTGTGTCCCCACTCGCTCGGGGCTATGACCTTTCTTGCCATTTCCCTCCTCCATCATCCATCGGTTCTCTCCCTCCCTCTCTCTCTCTCTCTCTCTCTCTCTCTCTCTCTCTGTGTCTATTTGATGCATCATCATCATCATCATCATCATGCTTTAGCTCTCTTCCCCCCATTATCTTTCCACACCCTTCAGACAACTATAACAAGTGTTCCCACCCTCTCTCCAATTCTCTCTTTTTTTTTTATAATAAAAATAACATACATTTATTGTTCAACGAGTTTTCGAATTATCATTCCAGTCCATCGTCGATTCAACTTATCATTGTACATACACAAAATGTATATATACACGTACGAGTTCTCTAATCACATTATTTACAATCACCTCAATTTTCAAATATTTAAAAAAAAAAAGATTTGTTAATTTAAAAAAAAAAAAACTGTGCGAGTGTGGGACCCATCATTGAAATACTTTAACCAAATCAAACGGTGGAGAGAGGAGTTGAGGCCATGATGATCGTCATGGTGGTGGACGGTGACTTTTACAACATCCTTTGTTTTTTTTTTCAACAAAATGAAAACCATATATTTATTTATCAACATTATGTAATCATGCATCACATCTACATACATATACACATAAGAATATGCTAACAGAGTCGGTTCTCCGAAATCAATTAATATCTTCAAAACAAAATTTAAAATATTACCGTCTTCAGTTTTTATTCATACAAATATACATTTTTATTTATTCATTTTTGGGACTGAAAAAAATAAAAATTTTATGGATAAAAAGTCTATAAGGAAACCACAGAAATTATAATACATCGTGTTTTAAAAAAAATAAAAATCATGGAGCGTGAGAAGAGATGGAATAGATACATAAAGAAATTCGGGATCGGAATACGTCAACTCTTAACAACGTTGCATCAGAGATAATGATAAAAATAAACAAATATAATCTTACAGTCATTACTATTGTCAATAATAATAATAATAAAATTGTTATTTCATCAATCTTGGGTTGGAGATTGGAATCAATGGAAAAAGAAAAGTCCACGGTCAACATGAACTGGAAGGAACCACAAAGGTAGAAGCAAATCTCACCACTTATTAACTATTAATACCATAGGCCCAGCAAATGTAAACTAAATCAAATTATTACCTAATTGATTTAAAATTAAAATTAAAATAGATTATCTCTACCTCTCTCAGTAACACCAATGGAAAATTGAAGTAAAACCATAATAATAATAATAATAAGAGAAAGCAAAGTGGGAAGTTGAAACATTTACTTCATATACAAAGAGAAAAGAGGCCATTTTACAATTTCACACAAACCCTCGCTTTATCCCTCTTCCTCTTTTTCACAGCCATTTATTAGATTCCTCTCTCAATATTGAATTGTATGCACTGATAGCTCAGGGAACCAGAGAGAGAACGAAATTTCATCTCTGGATTTTTCTTTTCCTTTGTTCGATTTTTTATTTTCTGGGTTGTTCTTGTCTTCCTGGGATTTTTTGAATTTCTATGGACTGAGTTTTTTTTTAAAAATCTTTTCTTCGATAGTTTTTCTGGGTTTTTTTGGCTTTCGATTAGTTTCTGCAGCAGAAAACTTTTCTGGGTTTTTGTCGCAGAGAAGCGTTATTAATACCCAGTGTTTATATTCCAATATAGTTTGATTGCGACAACAATAATCATAATTTTCTTTCCATAATCTATCGTTTTATCTACAAAATTATCTGTCTTGCAATTTCCCCTGTGAGTTTATAAATTGTATTAATGTAAAATTTGAAAGAAGAGAGAAAAGGAGAGTCTATGGGGAAGCAAGGGCCGTGCTATCACTGTGGAGTTACGAGTGAGTTCTTGTTTCTCCAATTTCAATTCCATACCAAGAAATTGACCCAGACATTGATTGTCTATCTATACATATGCATACTTTTTCTGGGGACTGAATACAAGTTGTTTTGTGCTTTGATGAACAATTGTTTTCATTGACAAACGAACATAAACGAGCATTTTGAATTATGCTCTGTAATCACATGTCTGTAGTTGTGTATGGTCAATGGTTGAGGGGGGGAGGGGGGTGGAAGAACGCGATTACAGTGTCCAAATATGAGTATATAATGTTCAATTGTGGTGATTTTACAGCCCAATTGTCTGAATTAGATGTGATTGCATTGGTGTTAAAATTCTGTACGCTTTTTTTTGTTTTAGTGAAGATCATTGATCTTCCTAGAGATGAGCTTTATCATACGAATGAAGAGTAGTCCTCTCCGCATGTGTGGAGAAGGGCTTGTGAAATCAATGTATGATTTAGTTGAATTGCTGTCTCGGTTTGCACATTAATTTCTGTGCTGATAAAAGTAATTGCATAAGTTTTTGCATTATTGATGGCATTGTAACATGGTGGACAGAGTTCATTCGCACCCTTTTTGTTAAACTCAGAATTCCCTCTGGAAATTGAGTTGACTCAATGTACATTTCCTCGTTTGCTGATATGTCGTGTGTGTGAAAGCTTATATGTACCGACCGGCATATCTGTGGAAGTTGTGTTTTGTACTTAATGGGGTGTTTGGAAACAGGCACCCCTCTCTGGAGGAATGGGCCATCAGAGAAGCCAGTGCTTTGCAACGCATGTGGATCACGGTGGAGAACAAAGGGAACATTAGCAAACTACACACCTCTTCATGCTCGGGCTGATGCCGAAGAGAATGAGGATCACAGGGTTCAGAGGTTAAAGAGCTTATCTGTAAATAAGAACAAAGAAGCTAAGATGCTCAAGAGGAAAGCCGATCAAGAAAATGTCACGGTCAAAAGGGTTTCCCCAGAATTCAATCATGGTTTCAAGAAGGTGGTAGATGAGGATGCTGGCAATAGATCAAGTTCCGGGTCAGCTATATCAAACTCTGAGAGCTGTGCACAGTTAGGAAGTGTAGATGGGAGCGAGTTTACAGGTTTGGTGCTCTCTGCTATTAATACACATGGCTGGCTGTACACATTTTGAAGCTAGTACCCTATACGTTGTCCTGAGTTTTAGATTCATTCTTATTTCGCTCTTTAACCAACTACTAGCTGGTCTTTAAAGCAGCTCCTTTATGCCCATGTGCCCTCTTTATCAGGTCCAGCACAGTCTAACGTGTGGGATACATCTGTTCCTTGCAAGAGAAGGACATGGGTGGGCCGTCCAAAGCCGTCTTCCGTTGAAAAGCTCAGAAAAGACCTCTATAATATTCTACAAGAGCAGCAATCATCTTGTTTCTCTGGTTCGTCTGAGGAGGATCTGCTTTTCGAGAATGAAACACCGATGGTTTCAGTTGAGATAGGACACGGAAGTGTTCTCATGAGGCATCCACATTTGGTTTCACGAGAAGAGGAATCTGAAGCCAGCTCGCTTTCAGTTGAGAACAAATCCTCACTGAATGAGTCATATTCACATTCTGGGAAGTCTATTAGCAATGGAGCTGCAAAAGCTCCAAACTTTGCTGGACAAGCAATTCAGCAG